CGGCCCCAGAAAGAAGGAAACATTACTAAGATTAGCGCTCTTTCATTTGTCATGTACTCAGTGGCGGAGCCACATTGAAGCAAGGGGTGTCAAGCGACACTCCTTCGCCGGAAAATTACACTATTTTGTTAGATAATTTTTTTATTTTATGTATATTTACTATACATTGACTCCCCTTGACTTTTTGATATATCTAATTATTTATATTTTGACACCCCTTGATAAAAATTCTGGATCCGCTACCGCATGTACTTATATTCTTTGTTAACAATATCGGTTAATCTTGGCTAACCCCTCTTCACTTCATTTTCTTTTGCGTGAGACTTTTGATCCAATTTACCAAAAATGATCTCATTTTTTTTTTTTTAAAAGTATTGAATATATAGTTTCAAAACATTTAAGAAGTCAAGTGACAGTGTCCTCGAGTAATTTATTGTTAAGTGAAAGACGATAAGCAATTTAACTATTCTCAATATATGAATAATAAATTAAACTACGTAAAAGTTCATTACCTTTTATAGTTTGCCACTCAAAGATTACTGAAGAAGAAAAATATCCATCTTTAGCATAACATTAGGTTTCCTAGGTAGTTAAACTACTTGACAAGAACATTAATTAAATCAATTCTAAAAGAGAAACTCTTTCGCATAATTATATCTGGCAAAACAACCAGACCAAGCATCTTCCTTAACAACCTCCGTTCAGTTATGGATTAAAGAACTAACTGTCGAATAATGTCCACTAAAATTAGTGGTCAAATCATGTTTTACGGGCCATAGTTAGAAAAAAGAATAGCTATAAAATCCCCATAATATTATCACTATTCTTTCCATCCAATTATACACAAAGTTTTTGGTCTTTGTAGAAAAAAGCTTTGAATTGTTTGGATTGGTTTTCAAACAATTCAAAGCTTTTGGTCTTCTGTAGCAATTCATCAGACACAAATGGCAGGAAAACAAGCCATGATTTTTGCCCTAGATGACACTGACCACAGCTTCTATGCCCTAGAATGGACTCTTGATCATTTCTTTGTCACAGATTCCCTTTTTAAGCTCGTCATTGTTCACGTAAAAACTACTCCAACTTCTGTTATAGGTCTTGCTGGCCCAGGTACTAACCATACAATTTGATTGCTTTGTCGTGTTTATGGTTCAATCTTTAGGTTTTCACCCATTATATTTTTTAAATTGTGAGTTCTAATAGTTTTTCACTTATATATTTATATTTTATGTTGAAAACGTTGGGTTCGGTTAATCCGTTACTTATAAATGCTCCATTTGTTAATTTCATCGAGGGGATTCAAAAATATGTTGTCTTCTATATATATTGGGGATTCAACAATTGACATATATACACTTTTTTTTAACGTGTATACACATTAAAATTTCCAGCCAAAGGGGATTCGGATGAACTTCTTCAATAAATATAGCTCTGACACTATTTATGACGATTACAAAGGCGGATCTAGGATTTCTAGTACATGGGTGCACTACTAAAAAAAATGATGAAAAAATATATTAGGTAAAAATTGATCCCCATTCCTTTTGGTAATTAATTCAACATTCAACCAAGTGCATCATTTAACTTTCTTGGAGTATGAGTGCCAATTGTTAATATTATACAAATTTTAGAAAATATATACATAAAAAATCTAATTTTACGGAGAGATCATGAGTTCACGTGCTCCATAATTTTGCCTATAAATCCGCCTATGATGAATAATCCTCTTGGATCCGAAAAATACAAGAGATCTAATGCATATATATAGCCGACCTTAACTAGTTTGAGATTGAGATATAACTGATTGATCGATTCTTTAATGTGGTACGTAGGAACAAGCGACGTGCTCATGCTCGTAGAAACCGATATTAAAAAGACAGCTCAAAGAGTTTGTGAGAAGGCAAAACAATTATGCAATGCTAAAGGGGTGACTGATGTTGAATTTGATGTTGTCGAAGGAGATGCTAGAAATGTGCTGTGTGATGCTGTTGACAAGCACCACGCCTCTGTCTTGGTCATGGGCAGCCATGGCTATGGAGCTTTCAAAAGGTAAAATAAATAATCCTATAGTAGATCTCATAATCATTTTAGAGTTTACGTACACTAAAAGAAACATGAATATATTAGCGTTAGATGAATTCTGTCGTTAAAAAACATATTTTCTTCGCTAAACTAATCATATTAGCGATGGATGATTTAGCGACAGACTAATGACGAATTTTATAGCTAATGCTTATTTTTTCTTAGTGTTATATTTTATTTTATTTTATAACGAGAGTGTTGATTGGCAATTTATACTTTAAATTTTTAACAGGGCTGTTTTGGGAAGCGTAAGTGACTATTGCTCTCACCATGCTCGTTGCTCAGTGATGATTGTGAAGAAGCCAAAGACAAAGAATTGAAAATGTTGAACAATAAAAGCATAAAGGAAAATATATATTGGAGGGAGATTAGACCAAAACCTTCTCAAGAAATATTAATTTAGAGAAAGAGGACATACATCCAAACCTCTAAATATACTTAAAAAAATCAATAGAACTATATGTAGCTAGCATATATGCTTGAAAAAAAAAATCATATCTTGCTGGCTTCATGAATTTAGTAGTTAGCAATAGGTATGCCTCTTGGTCTTTTTTTCTTTCTCCTTTTTCCTTTTTTCTTGCACCACATTCATGGTGTTTTTTTTATTGGATTGAATGTTTTTTATTTTTAAATTAATTAATGGAAATGAAATCCTGCATTCGCAATTATATGGGTTGCCTTTCTCCACATTTTCGTATGTTATATTCCTCTCAATCTTTAACACTTGTTATCCTTAAATCATGTGAGGTATCACATTAGAATTGAAGAAAAGAAACAGGAAAAGAAGAGAAAGTGTGTGTGAGAGAGATGAATCACCAATGAAAAGGAGAAACAGAAAAGATTTTTTCATCATGATTAATTGGTACGATTTAGAATATATATATA